TTTATATTTTTTAAATTAATATTTATTAAATAATAATACAATTTTATTTTTTTAAAAAATTTTTTCAAAAAATTTTAAGTACCACTGTAAACTGAGACAAGTTAGATAGTTTAAACTGATTAGCAGAACTTCTATCTTCTGTTGGTTTGCCTTTAGATATCACAAAGGTAAGTTATTATATAACAGATACCTGGTTACCTAAAAGAGGTACTTGCTAGAAATAATCTGCATAGAGTAACATATAGTTACTGGCTTGTATGAGTTCTTAGAGGAACTCTGATATTAATTTGTATCACAAGATGTATGTTATAACATATCAATAAAGAATATCTTTACTAAGTGAGATTTATACCTAAAAAAAAAAATTAAAATTAAAATTATATTGTATTATATTATTTAATAGATTAAATAAATTAATTAATTAAACTTGTCTTGAATATAATTAAAATTATACTATATTATTGTCCAAAGCAAGGTGTAGGACCTATACTTCTACGCATAGTGATATCAAATGTCTGTTTGTCCGCACGCCATATTGTCCAATAAAAATTCATTAAATTTTATACTCCGCATACATAAAATATCAATATAATCAAAATAAATCATCAATTACAGGTAGGTTTTCACAAACATATTTTTCACTAATTGTACAAATTCTCAAATAGATCAACTAGATTATTATTATTGTCCATTGTCTGAAGCAAAGTGGAAGACTATACTTCTATGTAATGTCGTTCTGTCTGTCTAATCATCGTGAAATTGTCAATTAAAAATGTTCAGATGTAACTTTGCATATTGTCATCCAATTAGTGCTTTCGTTCCTTTACTGCCCACTCTTGTTGCTCTTTGTCTTTACTCTTACCTACTGCTCCCGACGTGAAGTAAACTATAATGAGAGTGTACACTTTGCGTGGGCTATCTGCGTTGTGATAATCTTCGTGTAGGCCATCGATGATGTGGGCCATCTGTAATAAGATGTGCTACACACTCGCGTAATCCATCAGAGTGTAATGCACTGCATCTATGCATAGGCATATACTATAAAATGTATTATGCCTTAGTATAGCTTTAACAAATGAGTTTGCATGCTGACATGTTATGCAGCGGATGAATCATTAAGATCGAAATAAAGAGTGAATGAGTTTATACTAATGCACTACATCTTCACATGGGTCATCTATATTATTGTATTATCATTTTAAATAAATAATTTATTACCATTCTAAATAAAAAAAAAATATCTTGAATTTTTTTTTTCATTAAACTTTGTCATCTGTATAATGAAAAATAAAAAGAAACTTAGTCAAACCGGCGATTCAACAAGAGATAGTAAAAATCATGAATAATGTGAAACACGTCATGTTGCTGACCATATTAGTAAACGTAGAAAAGGGAATGCAGAAATTCTGCATAAACATGAATTGCATCTTATTAATAAGCATGAAAGCAGGAGAAGAAAAAGGATCTTAGAAACGACTGATCAACGTGAAGTTCATTAGCTAAAGATCACAACCAAAAATGATGAAAAAGACAACATGTCTTGAAGAATGCTGAAGAATGTCTGAATCGTCAGGATGAGCTTCTAGATAAACATTTGAATCTTCAAGATAATATTTAACAACTTTTCGATTCCAATCGTATGCTTCTGCAAAAATTTCGTAAAAAGATGAACAAACTCAAGAATTCGTCTTATCCTATATGCATGTAATGAATGCTTCCTATCAATTAACATCATCAAAAAATCGATGTGTTGTCACTGTTACAATAATAAAGATCTGGTAAAAAAGTTTTCTAAAGGCAACAGTATAGTACCTAAGGAATTAAAGGATCTCACTAAGATCAAAGAGATGCTAATCACTTAGACTTTCCTATCATATCGGTGTACTATTTTCGTGGTGGTCAATATGCCTATGTAGTAATGTGATAAACTTTTCACAATACTTAGATAAGTTTATATCATGCCTTCTCCACCATCCTTCATTGTTGAATATGCTTATTGTATATCACCAGTCTGCAGAAGATTCGACTTCATTCAAAAACTTTATCATTTGTCAAGATAGAGTTAGACAAGCACTATGTTGGCTAAAGAAACATAATTGTTACTATATCAACATTACAATTGATAACAATATATTAAGTTCTTTATATGAGAATGATCCTGTGGATGGGTATCTTCTGCAACTTCAAGACATAGAGAACAGTCTTAAACATATAAACGAAAATGTTAGAATATATCTGACAATTGTGTATATGGTGACACTGACAATATAATTGTACATAATTTTGTTCCGGCTCCTTTTCCCTCATCCAGTAAAGAAATGTGACCAACCATTGATGCCAATGCTATTAATGAATTTAATACTCCCGGATATATCGCTTGTGACTTTCTAACTCTATATCCGACTAGTGATGCTAATTATCTAGAAGGTCATACCAGAGAAGTCAATCCAGCCAAATATTTTCAACATTTTTTTTAGATATAAGGATGGAAGGTTTGCATGCCATTCCTGATAGTAACACCACATTTTTAATTCTCAAATGCATTGGCATACCTTGAAGGAAGATAAAGTTTATGTTATGCAAGGTCTAAATGACAGACAGCTTACAGTTGAAGATGTTCAAAAAATAATCAAGACCAATACTCATTTGGCAAATTATGTTATGCATTTTGGTGAAGGTTTGCGAGGCACTAGACAATTCTGGAAAAAGCGTAATTTAGAACTGTCTAATATAATCAAACAATTAGGAGCACAAGAATTGGTTTTTTTTATCTTTGCATTTTTAATATTTAAAAAAAAGAAAAAAATATGATAAGTTAAAAAAATGTTTAAAAAAAATACCAATTTTTATTATATTTATTAATTATCAATAAATACTAGGGAACGGAAATAATCGTTATTGTTTCAGCCCATGCACTATATAATTTTTTATTGTGAATATTGTTGGCTAGCATTATGAATAGTTTTGGATTATAAAAATTTGATCCAAAACTTGCTAATTGACTAATATTATGACAAGCATGGGGAATATGCTATAACTGATATGCCAGATATGTGTTCGGTGATTGCATATAATATACGAAAAAAGGATTGCTATGTATAGCACTTATTTCTGGCCACTCTAGCTTGATGCAGTCAATTTAGAAGCATGAAAGTTGTCAAATTAATTAATAATTATAATAGATATACATGTTATTCTAAATGTTATAAAAATTTTTAATTATATTAATTTAATAATATTGATATAGTGCTTTGGACTCACAATGGTTTCCATTTCCTAGTATATATATATACATGTGGTATAAATTATTTTGCTGTTGACTCAATTCCCAAAATCCTTAAAAATAATTGTGTCATGACTCAATT